GGGGGGGGGGGGGTAGAGAATTCTTTGACTCTTGGTGACAGGGGGAGGGGGGTAAAGAAAATTGTCACATCTGTTTTTAAAATAAAAAATTTTCTAATTTTGTAAAATCTTTATTTAATTAATTTTAAAAACATTAATTTGAGGTCCAAATTGCCTGAGGTATTATAAGTACGGTGAAACTCGGTCGCTCACACCGTCTGTGCAAATCGAAAAATGATGCAAACACTGTTGTGGCCATTTTACATTCGGCTCGGGGAGGACTTCGTTGTTTTGCATTTTTCGTCTAAGTTTTCTAATAATACTTCATCTGAATCCATTATGGGAAAATATTAAAGAATAAAATCAAATCTTTGTTTAGTTATGAAAATTTTATGTGTTTTGAATTTTTTTAGGTGTAACGTGACACTAAGTACTAAGGGGGGATGTCAAAATTTGTGAAACCTTATGACAGGGGGGTCTGAAAATATCATTTTTGGCGTGACGTAATTTGTCAACGACCCCTAACCACACTGTCATTTGTTCATACCATTATGATAAATTATAGAAGAACTATTTGCTGATGAAACCCTTTTCAATTGTCTATAAATTTAAGTAGGCCTATAATTGTATTATAACATTAGACAATAACTGTAGGCAAATATGGAGTTCTTTGAACTAATTTGTGGGAACAATGATTTTTTTCTCAGATTTTAAAAGATAAATTCATCAACACTAAAACTAAAAAATGAATATTTCATTTATTTGGCATAATTTTGCCCTTGCAGAAAGGGAGGCCATCCATAAATGACATCACTCTTTTTCCCTTACGTCAATGAAACCTTTAACTCAAATTGCTTTCAAAATTTTAGTTTATGAATAACCCATGAGGGTTCTATTTGTGGGTTCTATATTTCCTGTACTCAATGATTTCTTTTTCGTAAATTTTCATTACCTATAACACTGTCTTTCCCTTATACTTACAGATTTTGTATGTATATGTGAAATAACACATAGGTAATGCCCAAGGTTGAGATACCAGTAAGGACCATTTTACAGTTCAGCTGTATGATTTGAATATAGTTTTCTCCTATATAAATATAATTAGTAACCCTAATTCTGTCCTAATACAGATTTGTGATTAGAGGGGTTTGTGATGATGCTGATGTAATGCCCAGCTATAAGGGATCAGTGTTGAAATATTGAGTTAGTCTTTCCATTTTTTTTAATGTATAACATTTTTTCATCATCTTGCAAAAGTTGATCAGATTTCATTGAAATTGAATGGATTTCAAATGATAATTTAACTTCAGTATGATAGGCAAGATTTGACTGATGCAATGTGGAAAAGACTGAGTGGGGTAATTCTAAAGTTATTCGCTGTTGACATTAAAGTTAATGCAATTCAGTGCATGAAATGTTCACTTTCTTCTTGTGTAGCTTTTTAAATAAAATAATCCAACAAATAATGCAGCTTGTCTGTCATACATATTTTTAACTATTTTTTTAATTACATAAATTGTATTTCTACAACAGTACATTCAGATTTAGCAAGACAATAGTCAGACTTATGTGGCTTAGATTTTTTAACTGTGTTTGTCTCCTCCCCAAGAATAGCTACCTCTCTTGGCTTTTTATTATAAAATGGGGAAGAACCATGACAAATTTGAATCCACTATCACTTGGTCAGCAGCAAACCTTGCTATTGCCATCAACTATTATAATATAACGCTATATTTTTAACACTTGGTTGAATTTCTATCTTGGCTATAGCAATGCAGTTTTTGTACTAGGAGGGGTCAATAAGTTCAGAGTACTAGCATAAAAAATGGGACTTTATTTATATATATATAAAGCTAAACAAACAATTGTTCCATTGCATTTGCATTATCTGGGAACCCTTAAAGAAGCTTTAGCACCTGTGATTAAAAACTGACTTTAAAGGCTGCTGCAGTTTACTTGATCAAACACACAGCCGTTAATTCACTATTAATGAAGAGATTGTATAATAAGAACTCAAACATTGCATTATCAAGTTGTGGCTGAGATGCACTTTTTTTCCACAAAATTCTTGACACTGACTTACTCAAGACAAATATAATGAATTTCTTATAAATTACATTTTTAATTTGACAGCAACTCTAATAGACCATCAAAACTATTTTTGATGTACAATTTCAAAAGGTTTTAAAATCAACATGAACTAAACATCTAAGTCCACAGTGAACTGAAAACAAATCAAACTCAACATCACCCAACCCTCATCAGCACCACACAATTTTAAAACCCAGCAGTGATCATCTAGTGTGAATTGGAGAGGTGATTTCTCTTCACAGTCTTGTTATCCACAAAGCTAAATATATTAAAACATTCTATTTCTTCGACCGTACATAGTTGTAAATGGCAATCATCACGGGCAGCCAGTAGGGCCAAACGAAGTCACAAGAACTTACCTGAAACAAAAGAAAAATAACTGTGAGATAAAAATTGACATTTATGTAAGGACACTGAACATTTTTGGTTTTTGAAAAAGTTCACAAAATTGCAGTTGAATCGGGTTTTCTGCATTAGTTTCAAAACATTTTTTTTTTTAAATTAACCAAAAATGTTTTAACGATGTGTCCTACGAATGCTGAAAGAGAAGATATATTTGAGGATGTACTGATTATAAAAGACTGGCTAGCATTGTCTCAAACATTTTAGCAAACTAGAATTTAAAAAAAATTAACATATTTATCTTGATAAAAGTCTCATATACATCATGTATCACTATATATTTACAAATGATCATAAATCTGTGAATGGAGTTCAGGTATGTTTCAATGTATACATTTTATAATTATTGGTTTTGACAAGTTTAATTTAAATCAGCAGGTGTTTAATTTAGGATGTTTTCATGTGTCAAGGTACTGAGTGTACACTTTATGTTATAACCTTTAAATGTGTCTCCTGTAGTCAGAACAACTCTACGTCAACCTAGAAAAAAGATGAGACAAGTTTAGTAAAAAAAAAAATACAGCTACATTCAGTGGGGCAAGGGGGGTTGGAATGAGATAGTTGATGCAATGTCTTCTATAGTTATTGAAAATGGGGAGCAATCATGTTGACCACTAAGTTGCATTTTGTAAAGACTGTCTGACTGTAAGATCCCGTTAAACTGACAACATTTTTTTTATTAAAAAGTATTTAAAACTAATAACTCAGTCAACAAATTTAGGTCTTTCTGTTTGGAGATGTGTTTTATGAAAGATTTCAAACATAACTAGGAATAAAATGTCACATCATCTATGAAACTATGTGTTTCCTCTGCCATGTGTTTAAAACTGTGGATTAAAAAATGAGTTGAAATGTAACTATAGCAGAGATACAATTCGTTACGCTTATCTTTAGGTATACAAAGAATCGCACTAATTATTAAGCTATTGCAGCTCTCATCATTCTGCACTGCTAAAATCTAATTAGTTGCATGGGCTGTTGATAATTATGGCAACCAAAAACAAAATGAAATGAAATTACGCAAGAAAAACCTTTATTATAAGCTGGTGATGAAGAAGGTGCAGAGACATGACCTTGAAAATCAAATTTCATTGTGACCTTTCCAGTAGCTGGGGGTCATAGGTCGGGTCAGACATAAGGCTCCATTGGCATGAGGAAAAAATGAAGAGGAAACAAACGCAATAGAATTAATTTTGAAAATTTAATACAAAAAGACAGGTACACGTATTTCCCAAAATTCAACTCTTTTTTCCCCCACATCTCTTCCTTTTCATAACTGCAATCATCACAGAAAATTCATAAGGTAAAATATTCAACTATATTCTTTTTTAATGGAACAATTAATGGTACTAGGACACTAGAGAATAAAAGTATATGGGAGAAATCTAACAAAAACCATAACCCTGAAAAAGATAACTCAAAATGGCTAAAATCTTAAATTCAAAACATCACGCTGGCTTTATATTTGTAAGTCAGGCTACAGATTTGTGATAGTGATTTTTTTTTTAAAGCCATTGAGATTTATCCAACATGTCAGCCATTCTTTGGTTATGAGTGTATTAAAAATGCGATTAATAATCATAACATAGAAATCTGTAAGGTTTGGAGTCTATAGATCAATTAACTCTCAATAATACATATTTCCACTAAGAAAATTAGGCATAATCAACTCTTCTCTTGTAATATATTAAAATCAACAACTTATCCAGTTTTCACATAGTACAAAACTGTATATTTTAATATTTTTGTTCATGAACACTGAAACTTTTTTTATTGAGAATAAACCTTTCAAGTAAATATGCCTTGCTTCATTGAGTTAAGCTGTAAAAGTCTTTTTTTTTCTCAGTCTTTCAAATTTTCTCAGTAATAAATGGATGAGCTAATGCCTGGTTGATGGGAATTCTTTTGGATGGGTCAAGAGCCAAGAGTTTGTCCAGCAGGTCCTTGAGTTGAGTAACCTTCCTAAGCTGGTCCTCAGGAAGTCGGTTGTAAGGGACCATTTCTGCCAGCATGTCCTTGGTGGCATTGATTGAGGACATCACAGTGACTTTTTCCTAACAAGCAAGGGAGTGATAAACATTGGCTGTAGCCCATACATTAACTCAAAGGAGAAAATTTGTTGTGAATATTAAAAATAAAAAAAATCAATGAAAGTGAGGAAAGAACAATTTAATCTAAACTTAACATTAACACTGAGAACTCCTTACACATAACAAAATTTATTTTCTTTGAATTTAATTCAATTTAATTTTGGTCTTTTTGTCTATTATTAACCCACGAACTCTGGCATAGACCATTCTGTAGTGTGGGAGCTGCCTTTAGAAATAGCATTAAATGACAGAAATATTGATACAAGACCCCAATAAGTATATATTTTTAGAAAGGTAAATGTATGGGGATAAAGTTGCTTTATTTTGCCCACATGTAAAAAAAAAAAATTTCATTGTGCTTGACCTTGGAGTGCTCCAGAAAAAAAAAAAAATCGACAAAATGTCTTGCTTTCAAGTGCTCATAACATCATTAATTTTTTATAGATTCCATATTAAAGTACTAATCTAAATGTGGTATCCAATTCATTTATCTTTCAGAAAATGTTTAGTTTGCTAAGGTTTTTATTAAAATTATGCCCCTGAAAGCAATTTTAGTAAATTTAGGTCATTTATTACTGAAAAAAATAAGAAACTAAGAAAATAAGAAACACAGCTAAACCAAGTACAACATACAAAATCTCAGACAAAAAATTTATTATTGACTAGTAAGCATTTAAAACTGTGAAACTGATTTGAAACTAAAATTTATTAGCTCTGATCTATAATCTGTAGCTTCTGTGACTTAAGTTCAGTCAGTCCTTGCCCAACCTGGGGGCCTGGCTCAAAGTCTAACAGTAGGCCTACTTCAGGATCACCAAGACTAGTATCGGATTCACTAGAAGAAGAATCTGAACTGAGATTGTCATGGGAATGTTAAAATCATCATCAGTATCACTTAAATCCTCTCCTAAAAATCTTTAAAAAATATTTCTATTAATTCTCGTACTGACGGCTCAGCCATAGCTTTAAGAAAAACAGTGATATAAAATTCAGATTAAAAAGTACTTATTGTTAAGTTATCAACAAACAGCTTGACCCGAAGATGATTTAATTATTAATAAAAGGAAGTGGCTATAATTCCTGTTAAATTTTGGATTTTCAGTTGCTATCGGACCGAGTTTTTTATCTACCGATTTTTCTGCTGCCACAGTACAGAATGAAAATATCGGCCAATTTTTTCGGCCAACCACAGTTTGTGGGTCAAAGAAAGACCTGACAGATTATGCAACTTCTGAACAAGTTCTGTCAAATCTTCTAAAAATTGCTAGATAATTTCATTGCTTCCTTCACTTAACCAGGAAGCAGATCATTTGTGCATGATCTGTTTTTCCAAATTTTCAAGGGGAGGATGAAAGAAATATGACACAATGAACTTAAGAACTGTAGCCATCACTAAGTTGCAAAAGAATGCACATTAACTTTTTTTTTTAGGGGTTGGTTTATTATACAGGTATTTTATTATTTTTAAAACTTAATGGTTTGGAGCATTTGTCCTCTTGATTGCTATACTATAGGGATTTAGAATTTAACAGATCAATCAGCCCTGTTAAGGCAAAAATAATACTCTGAATTTAAACCAACAACGCTGTAATCATTTTAAAGAAATCTAAAGAAAAGTTCCTACCCGCTGGGTAATTTTGTCCATCTCATGATGACGGAAGTTGTACGAAGAATCAAAATGTTGATCTTTGAACATCCCTTTACGAATCATTTTGTTGGGTATCCTTCCCTTGTAGTCCATAACTGTTTTCAACATGTCGTTATTGCTGGTGCCCGGAAAGAGGATCTTGCCAGTGTACAGCTCAAATAATGTACAGCCCACGGACCATGTATCAATGTTGTGATCATAGCCAAGACCTAAAACTATAAAGGAAAGAGATTGAAGCCATCAAAAACCATAATGTGGTGATAGGGTATCCTACAGGAAATAACTTGTATAAAATTACTCATGTTAAACATCACCAGATCGATCAATCAATCAACTTAAAATAAAACAGGCCAAAATAATATCAGCGCCAATACAATTACAGTTCTATTTATTAAACTACATGAACTATAACAAAAAATGATTTTGAATCTCATAGTTATATTACAGGGCAAATACGAGATAAAGATGCCATGTATATAATGTATATGTATAATAAGAGCTAGATAATCCAGACTAACTGTGCCCCTGTCCTGATCATCGACATTCTAATGTATATAAACGTGTTGTAAATATTGACGTCATGATTCACCACATGATTCGTGAATGGTTACCGGTCATGGCAGCCCCTATTAAAGTTTTTTTTAAAATGTTATTTGGTGGTTTATAGAGATGTATTCACTCTAAATCAGTGATTTTTGCTCTGCAGAAAGAACAAATTAATGATAAGGCAATCCCGGCTTTAGATGTTCCATATTTTCTACATCTTACTTTTATCACAAAATGGTTGAGAAAAGTAAAGGCAACATACTTATCTCTGGAGCTCTGTAGAAACGGCTGACTAAATATGGTGTGATGTCATTCTCAGAAACATGAGAGGCTGAGCCAAAATCACACAACTTCAGCACCATTTTGGACTCATTTACCTTTTAAATAGACAAAGTTTGGAAAGAAGAAAGTCCATTATTGGAAGGAAGGGAGAAATTAATATGAAGAAAAATTTTAAATATAAAAGTTTTAGTAACTAGTAACTGGAGTTTGCAAGAGAAATATAATCCTATTACCCACCAGGATGTTATCAGGCTTTATATCTGCATGGAGAATGCTGCATTTTCTGAGCAGTTTCAGAGCAAGCAACAGTTGCTGGCTGTAAGATCTGACGGCCTTGATGTGGAGACCAATGTCTTTCCCATACTTCTTCAGCACCTCACGTAAATTCATACTTTGAAATACAAATACAATGTTAATCTTTAAAATATAAGAAGTGTAGCAAAATGATCATCCAAAAAAGACTTCACAGCACGTGAGAACTTAAAACAAAGCCATTGATTTTTTCTTGCCATACTTACTAAGCACTTTCAAGTAAATCTTAGATTGTAGGTTGTTTTGTTTTTTTACTTGAAACCCTATCAAATCAATTTATAGAAATATGCATAGACAAATAATACAATTAATTTGAAGTGGATCGTGTTTTTTTTGCATAAGGACAACATACTATATTATTTAAAATAAATTATGTAAGCACTCATATTGATTAGAATTAAGAGAAAGGGAACCTCTCTGGATCTTACAACATTCACTATCACAACATAATTAAAACAGGTTTATGTAAAAAAAAATAGGTAATCAACTGCACATGGTGGACAACAATCAAATTACGAGTACTCTTTAACTGAAAAAGTCAACAGACCCAGCTGGTCAGTAACAAACTGTTAACCCACCTGAGAGGTTCAAACACAAGGCACAAATGCTGCTTATGGTAGAAATGTCGAAACAGCCGCAGGCAATGAAATTTATCATCAGGGTCAGCATCATTAAGTTTCCTGAGAAATTCCAACTCTTTCATGCCTGTTTTCAACCTGATGAAAGGGATATTTTGAAAATAATCCACAGCATGCTGTTAAAGATAATTCAATCCAATACTTTTCATAACATTTTTATCTGTTAATTAAATTTATAGGAACCTTTCCAGCTTAAAAAAACTGATTGGTTTTCATAGCCAATTAACATGTTCATAACCAAAATTAAATAATTAATTATCTGAAGAGAAAAAAGAATGAGGGTCCTCACATCATTTCATTGTTTCTGATAACTTTGATGGCAACATCAGTATTTCCCCTAGCAGCATCTCGACACATGACTACATTACTGAACATGCCCTGACCTTTATAAGCATACACTGAATAGCGTTTGTCTAGAGTTTCACCAATACGTACACCTGAAGATGGTGGTGAAAAATTCAAATGAGTTAAGAATACAATTACAAGCCATCTATTAATTCATGCCTCAAATTATTGTGTATGAATTTTAGTTAAAGAAATATTATGAGAGGAGATTTTAAATATAATTTAACCAAGCAGAAGCTGCAAGCCCAGCCAAGAAAGGACTATTTCAAATGGTAGCATTTATGAGTAGTCTAACCATAAATGGTATAATATTATTAAGACATGTTTGAAAAATAATTTACTTGTTTTTTTACACTATTGCATTAGACTGTAACTCAAACCATCTATCCAAATTATCTCAGCTTAAAACATATATGATGACAAGCAATGAAACTTACGGTAGTATCCCTCGGCATCATCCCAGTTGTCAGTCAGATTTGGATTTTCAGCCACACCCATCAGCCCCCTCCTCAACCCAGGACTCTGTAAAAGCATTGTTGTACAACTTGAAATTTACAATCAAATATACCTAAACAAAGTACTCAAAGACAGAAGTCGATGATAGCTTTCAAGTGTAACCAAGAGTTCATAACTTTGTCAAAACTTGGAGAAAAAAAAGCTTATTTGAAAAATGTATTAAGTAGTTTAATAAGTATGGCAATCAATATAATTTCTATCAGAATAATGATCAGCTTCAGAACATGAAGATATAATTAAATAATGATTCATAGTATAACACATAAGTCTTGTAAATAAAATTTTTAATGAATTGAACTTACATTGTAATTTTCACTAAACATGTCCTCTGTGTCAGCAAACATGTCAACACCATCACCTTCTTTTCTTATTTTCTTTCCATCTAGACAAAAATTTAAATATGAAATCATCAATAAAACCGATTTCAAATGAAATATGGGAAAGAAATAAAATCAATTAGCACCACATACACACACAAATAATAAACCCTTGGTGTTTTTTAAAAAATATTTTTTAAAATCTTTACTCCACTATCATAGTTAAAAAAGAAGTGCTAAAATATAAGACATATCTATTGATCATATAAATGATCTATGTCAGTAATCTCCAATAATGTGTGTGTGTGATAATCTGGAAACACTGTGGTAGAATTTGTGGTTCATTGTTGTTCAGTGACGTACCCAGTATAGCAGTAATTGATTTCCATGACATTTAGAGAGTAGTGAGCAAGTTTAAGTTATAAAAATATTTTTTGTGTTTTTGAAGAGGAAGGATGAAATTTGTTGCCATATGTTGTGTCAATAAATCTCAAGAAAAATGCTACATTAACTTGTACCCTGACAAAAGTTGTTTTATTTTTTTAAAGTTTACTGAAAACTTAGGTTTGAGACCTATTACCAGGATCAAGTGACAGAAATATCAGTAATGCATACCTCCATCTTTCTGCTGATCACCACTTTCTTCAACTGTTCCCTCTTGCTCATTCTTCTCTCCATTTGTTTCTTTTGTATCTTTTCTTTTGTCATATTTTGTAGCCTCTTCATCATCTGAACTGCTTCTACTACTCTCAGTATCAGAGCTACTAGATCTGGTTCACAAAAGTATTGCAGATAATTTATGTCTTTGTTGTAAGGATCTAACTTTTTCTTTTTTTTTTTTAAATCACAAAACAGGAAATAAGAAACACCAGCAAGCTATGTTTAACTTTTAAAACGTTTTTTTACCTGTTACTATAACTTGAAGAGCTGCGGCTGCCACTGGAACGCTGTCGTTCTCTGCCTCTTTTTTCTTCACGCCCTCTGCTTCTACTCCGGCTGTGCCTGCTTCCACTTTTACTTCTACTGTCTCTCTTTCTGTCTCTTCTGCTCAAAGACTGTTCATCGTTTTGATGTTCTTTACTAGCACTACTCATCTGGCTGACACTTCTACGTTGTCTACCAGGACTGGCTGTGTTTGGTAAGCTGCCTTTATTGCTAGAGGAGCAGATAAAATTGGAAGAAATTAAAAAAAAAGAACTACAATATTTATTTTGAATGAATACAATACTCTATAAAAATCCAAGCACATTCAAAACTCATTCATATTGATGCAGCAGCTTGGTTGCAAATTACAGAAATATATCAAATCTACTCCTGTTCACATTAAAAATGTACATTTAAAAATGCTGAACATTGATCTCAATTTTGTTATTGGAGGGACCTGATTTGACAATCCTGATCTTGGTCAAGCGATAATTTCCACAAATAGATGTTCAAAATGCAAAATACAATTATCGGCCAGCAGTTAACTTCTTTAGCTTTTAGACAGTCACCTTTGCACACCATCATCCTCATATTCGTCCCCATAAAGTTCTCTCATCTCTTCTTTATCCTCAAGGCTCTTTTTCCTTGCACCCTCCTCCTCTCCTGCTGACCTTTGATCACCTGACCCAGAGTTGGCCGGTTCCATTCCTACACTAGGAACACTCACTGAGTTGGAGTCTTCAGCTTGATTGGACAACTTCAGTTTCTAGAAAGAAAAAGCAATGGAGAGCTGTTAAAACCTGATAGACACTGTAACTGAAAATTTTACAAATTGAAATTTAGTTTTTTCAAAATTTAATCAAAAAAACTTGTAGAGGTGTGTAAAATATGTTGATAAATCAGGTAAATAGTTACTGCTACTAACTAAACTATTTTTCAAACCTCTAATAAGGCTTGTCTTTCCTTTCTTCTCCTCTCAATAATGGCATCTGCATCTTCCTCGTCATCCTCCAGGCTGATGTCAAGACTTTTATTTATCATGAAATAGTAATGTTAAGTTATAAGCCGGGATGGAGCTTAAATTGTAAACAAAGTAATGGAAGATGTCTAAAACCTTCAACCCTTCCAGACTTATTTCATGTAGAAGTAACTGGTAAAAAATTAACTCCAAGTGTGGTAATTTTAAGCAAATAAAACAACAAAAGATACAAATGCAGTCAAAGCATAAGCAAATACTTTACTATAATTTTAAAATAAGTTATCCTTGGCTAAATACACTTAAAGAGATGGAAACCTCTTCTGGATGATTTATGTATTTATTATCTTTTGAAATTAAAAAACATACAGATGATCTCAAAATTTAGACCCTAAAAATCGCAGTTGACACACAGTCTTATGGAATAAACAAGCCTGAAGAATCAGGTGTATCTATGGGATAAACCTGTGGTAACTAATTGGTTAATGAGAGAGATCTTTTGAAATTCTTAAAGTACTTAAAGACTTACTCTTCATCTTCATCTGAATCTTCTCTCTGTAAAGCAAGACCTTCTGACAAGCTATCTTTAAATTTATCTTCAGGGCCTTTCGAGTCTCCTCTGTCTTTATCTCTTTCAGATGATCTCCCTCTGCGATCATTTTCTCTATTTTTATCTGGCATCTCACGATAACTGAAAGAAAATGTGAATGATACATTCAGTTCTTAAACTTTCTAAGATAGTCAAATAATAATTAAGGAAAAAAACAGTAATAATAGACATATTGCTCACTATTGAACATTTATTGAACATTTTCAGCACAAGAGCATTATCTACTTCGCCTACTTGCTGTGGGCATTGAAAAGTTTTGGGTGGTACAAGTCTATACAGTGTCAAAAATATCAATTAAAAAATATGACTTTGATTTTTATAATAACGTATTGAACTGCTAAAGTAGTTGAGAGTTAAAGTTGACGATTTATATCTGAAATGTAAGTAGAACTTGATAAATCTACTTTTAGTTAGGAAGTGTACCTCTCAAATGTTTTTTAATATTTTTTTTTTGTACCTTTCCTATTTATTAAGTCATTGGACTTAAAAAAAGAAATTTAGCATCTATGAGATTGGTTGTCATCAAAGTGTGAAAAAAATAATCGATTATTTACCGTCTACCAATAAATGGACTTGGCGTTCGCCTCCTTCCACCTCTATCAGCTGGACGTGCTTCATCCCTTCTACGATCAGGACGATCTAATCTTTCAGGTGGTCTTCTGCCCTCTGGTCGTTCTAATCTTCCTTCTGGTCTTTCTGATCTGCCTTCTGATCTATCTAATCTGCCTTCTGGTCTTTCTAATCTACCTTCTGGTCTTTCTGATCTGCCTTCTGCTCTTTCTAATCTGCCTTCTAATCTCTCTACATCTCTTCTATCTCTAGCTTCTGGTGGTCTACGAGTGTCATCCCTGCGGCGATCATCCACAGGTTTCCTTTCATCCTTCCTTGGATCCTCTCGCCACCCTTCATCTTTTCTATTTTCTTCACGCTTTCTTCTGCCATCTTCTGTTTTGCGTACATCATCTTTCCTTGACCGTGAAGACTCACGGAGAGATTTTGACTCTGATCTGTCATTTAAACCACTCCGCCTGTGAAAAAAATGTACTTCAATCTTTAATTGTCCACAAATTTTAGTTTATACAAACATGGTTTTACTATTGTCAGTATTGCAACTAAAACCTCAGCTAAGAGTATTGACATTTTTACACAACAAAAATGTCCATAGGTCAAACTATAAACCCACACTACAATGTCATTTTCAAATCACTGCAAACCTTTTTTTACATACCTTTGTGGACTTTTCCTGAGCTTTCTATCAGATTTCTTTTTGGGAGAAGGACCATGAGATCTCTCTTCTACAATGGCAATATCTGGGTCTAGCTGACTAGACCATTTCCTATGTTTGGACTGTTTTCTCACCTCAATGACATCATCATCATCTATTTGAATGACTTCATCTTCATCTCGCGCTTCACCCTCCTCCTGGTCACTGTCAAGAATCTCCACTACTCTATTTTCTTTTTCTTCTCGCTCCTTTCTTTGTTGTATTGAGGATCGAGATTCTTTCTCAAGGGATTTCTGCTTTGTTGACTGGACAAGACTCTGTACTTTCGCTCTAACTGCACTAACCTCTGGTCCAAGTCTGGCTGCCAGTGATGGTGTTAACCTATTTGTAGAGAAATTTGGAGCAGATGGAATGCCAACACTGTCCAACAGCTCCAAGCCTTCATCTAACAAATCTGTGGACTCAATATCTGGTGTACTTCTTTGCTGCATGCTTTGCTCACTAATTTGTGAAATTTTCCCTTCTAAATGCCTCCTACCACTTTCTGAATCATTACCCCCGATGTCATCTCTGGATTTTGAAATTCTAAAGTCTTCAAAATCTGTAAAGTCATTTTGATTCCTGTCTGTTAAATGGGATTCATCATTTTTTTTAAAGTTAGAAGCCTGAGAATCCATCCTTGCAAGAACCTCCCTAGCTCTCCGGAGCTCTTCTTTCAAATTTTCATGCTCCACTTCTCCTTCCTCTTCCTCAGAATCAGTAACATAGCCCTGCACACACAAAAATTATCAAAGATTAATGAAAAACATGTAACAATTTACAAGCATAAATCAACTTTTACAGTATAATTATTAAATTATCAACTTATTACAAAACACATTTGACTAGGTGAACTTTAGTTTATACCTCAGCAATTAGAGTAATGGCTCTGAATGCATCATCACCACCTCGCCCATTTAGTTCTGCTTTAAGAGCTTGACGTGCTGCTTCTAAACGTTTAAGTTCAGGATCCTCATGATTTAATCGCGGCTTCTTTATGTGCTCCACTGGTTCAGATTCACTGTCAGATGAACTGTGTCGCTTCTTCTTATGTTTTCGTGAGCGGTCACCGCTGCTATGCTTATGCTTGTTTTTGTGTTTGTGCTTGTGTTTGCGTTTCTTTTTGTCTCGCTTTTGGCTGGTTGCTTCATCCCTATAAAAGAATATTACATAGTTAATTTCATTGACATAGCATGGCTTATTCCTGGTACATTATAAATAGTTACAGGTTAAAAAGATTATATTAAAGATGTTAGTATGTTACTTATGTTAGTACTTTCAATGAAATCAATTGGGTAGATTATTCAAGAAAATAATAATAAAATAAAAAATTAGTAATTTTATAGTCCTATTTGCAAAGAGGAAAAGGCATTAATTTTTTGAACTAAAATTGTTAACATGTTAAAGGTCGTTGACATGCTGAATGATTTAGAAATCCAACTTTTGCAAAATGTTACCAAAAGGTTGCACCCACCCCCCATCAGAAAATAAAGTTAAAAGTTCATATAATTTTGGAGATAATATTTATCAAGCTATGCTTCGTCATACTTCATGGCAAGCGGCTAAGTCTGCTTGTCACCTAAATTACGAATAAGATAATCTAACAACTAATCACTACGACTATGTAATTTTGTAACATGTAGGAAATTAATAAAACAAAGTAAGGTTAAACCTGAAAAAAGGAACACAACAAAACAACTAACGTTTCGAAAGGAAGCCTTAGTCAGCAAACAAACAGAAAAAACATAATAAATTAAAATTAGTTTTGTTACGTTCCTTTTTCAGGTTTAACTTTACTTTGTTTAACTAATTTTCTATTGTGCTAACCTGATTGCAGTCTCTCCCCTTATTAACCTATGTAACATGTAACACTATGTATTACTATTACTAATGTTACTAGTTAATAATAAGATTTCGGTAAAGCTTGGTGTAGTGTGCGATCTCGGCTCTTGATTGCCATGACCTCAAGACATCATCTGAGGTCATGGCAACTAAGATGGCGACCATTTTGTATTAAAAAATTTGTGAAAACTCACATCTGCTAAAATGGGGAGGGGAAGAACTTTATTGTTTCCTCTAGATATGCGCCAAGAAATCTCAATGACCTGCGGTCGCCCCCTTTCCTGGTGTAATTTGAGCCAGTACATTAATTTATTTAATGAAATAATTTTAGCAGGAATATTAATTTTATGTGTATGTTGGTATACCCAATAAACTGACAAGACTGATACACATAACATTAAACAACTCAAAAAGCAAAATCAAGGTACAAGGAGAATATTAAAGGGAATTTCAGATTAGACGAGGCCTAAGACAAGGAGACTCACTGTCTTGTATGCTATTTAACCTAACAGAGAGAGTTATAAGAAGTGTACATAATGACACCTGAGGAACAATAACAGGATACTTTCAGAGGGAAACCCAAGAACTACAACCAATGGGCCCTCTCTACAATCAACCCCTTCAGTATCCTGCATATGCTGATGACATAGCACTGCTAGGAAAAAGTATTAAAGACATATCAAAAGCCGTTATTGAATTAGAAGACACATCACTTTAAGCAGGGCTGGAAGTTAACAACCAAAAAAAAAAAATACACGACTATGATGAGAGAAGAACAGAATGACTACGATAAGAGAAGAACAGTCAGATAGAGCCATTTAAATTAGATACCAGACTTTTGAACAAATAAATCAATTCAAATACCTAGGATCTTTATTAAATGAAAGAAATGAATTACTAATAGAAATAAGAGAAAGAATATCAGCCGGTAACAGGACATACTTCAGTAGTCAGAGAATATACTCAAAAGTAAAAACATTACAAGACGAACAAAGAAAACGGTTTATAAACTGTAATCAGACCAGTTGTAACATACGTAAAGGAAACTTGGACCCTAACAAAAATGGCTGAAAACCAATGTTACAGAGAGCCTGTTTGCATGGTGTTTCTCGTGTGTGCCCTCTGATTGACCCCGCATGAGACGCTGTGTTCACAAAGGGGTGCGGCTTAGGTCTTTGAAGTGGCTTGTTTACAATCGGCTTCCAATTACGCATTGGGTAGATTGTTTTCGGGTAATTTCTGGAATATACTCCTTAACCCGAGAGATGTAAACAACACGTCATAAGCCCTTCTCGAAGCATCTTACTCTACATATATATAAGAGATTGACAGGCACGAGGGGACGGAGATTTTTCACATAGATTTTCTTAACATTACGAGGCGTGTTTTATTCTTTGTGTATTTGTGTGCTCCTACTTATATGTGTTTATTTCGCATTATTTATTGGCATCATTATTTCTAATTGTATTAACTGTGTACCGGTACGACATCTGCCATACTGTAAGTTGAAGATTGTAATTTTATTTTATTTTATTTTGTAATTATCTTAAGACATAATAAATCTTAATTAATTGTAACTAGAAACTGTTTTGGGTCGTATCTTTAATATTGTTGATTATATGGTATCGTCCTTTGTTAGGCACTGTTTACAACGAGCCAATTAAAATTAAAATAGGAGATTAATTTCTCCCAATACAAGTCAGTGCGTAACAAATTGGGTTGCTCGTCCCGGATATAGCGGACTCTATATTATTATTTTTCTCAAGACCCCAATTCTAACAAATTGGGGGCATCGTCCGCGATAACCGAATCCATATTTTATTCTCATTAGACCCCAATTTTAACAAATTGTGGGATTTTCCGAGGATAATTTTAATCCATAGTTTTTAATACACCAATAATAAATTGAGCGTTTTTTCTGTGGATTTTGACAAACTGTTTACCTTAATACACTCAAACTAATTTGAGTTCACGATACCATTTTACGACACCAACAACAGAGCTGGTTACAATTTTTTCATTAGTGTGTGCACTAAGCTTAAATTTTTATAAAAAAATCATTGTTATATTTTGCCTGTGTCAAAATGGATTTTGATATTGAAAACCCATCAGTAGAGGCATTAGACAAATGTTCTAGGAAGGAGCTATTTTCCATTGCTAAAGCTCTAGAAATAAATGTAGCTCATTCGGCCGTAAAAAAGACCATACGAGACATGATCATCGTTCACTTTGTGGATGAAGACATGTTATCTGAAGATGAACTTGCCTCAGTCACACAACCGACTGATCCAAGTATGGAGCTCCAACTAAAGCTCAAACAAATGGAACTAGATGCCCAGAGAGAAAAAGAACGTGAGCTTAAACAGCTGGAGCTAAATAAAGAACGTGAGCTGAAACAGCTGGAGCTTGAAGCTCAGAGAGAGAAAGAAGAAAAAGAACGAGAGCTTAAACAGCTGGAGCTAAAAGCTCAGAGAGAGAAAGAAGAAAAAGATAGAGAGCTAACAATAAAGTTAAAACAAATGGAAATAACGGCCAATTTAGGAGCAATGGAAAATAGACTCACGGCTCCAGCCGGTCAGGGTTGCGATGCAATTAAATTTGCAAAAGTAATCCCTAAATTTACAGAAAAAGAGGTTGACCAATATTTTGCGCAGTTTGAGATAACTGCCCAAAATTTTAAAATTCCTGAAACTATGTGGTCCACCTTACTTCAACCAGCCTTGACCGGAAGGGCATCTGAAGTCTTTGTGTCCCTGAATGCGGAACAGCGCGGGGACTATAACCTAGTAAAATCATTAATACTTAAGGCTTATGAATGTGTCCCCGAAGCATACCGTAAAAAGTTTAGGGAACTGTGGAAACGTGATGGCCAGACTCATGTTGAGTTCCTCCGGGAAAAGGAACGGCTCCTGGACAAGTGGCTGCACGCAACCAACACCGAGACAGACTTCAAGAAATTCAAGAACCTCATTCTGATGGAGGAGTTCAAGAACTGTGTTCGTACTGAGGTGCGAATACATATTGCAGACCGTGGCGAAGGTGACGCACATACGGCAGCAGTGTTAGCCGACGACTTCACCATCTCACATCAACTTTCCAAGAATCCATCTGACACCAAAAATGACAGGCACAATAAGACAGCTGTATCAACTTACAGTAAACCTCCACAAAAACCATTCAAGCCCGGTACGAAAGAAATTGGTGCAAAAGACACATGTGCCTACTGTAAAAAAGAAGGACATACGAGGGATGATTGCTGGAAACTCAAGAAGAAAACTGAGAAGACCACACATCCTGGTACACAACACAAAGTCTCCGCTTGTACGTCTCGTCATACATCTGGAAACACATTTTCAAAATTCAAGAGTTTTTGCTCTCCAGATGTCCATACAAACTTCAAAGAGGTTTGTCACGACTCATCAAAGAGTTCCATTATGAACAATAAGGCTAGTTTTACTGACTCCAGCCAAGTTCCTGCTTCGACTGCGAGTTTTATGAGCTTGTCGCCAAGATCCTTTTGCTCCAAGAAGAGGTCTACCTCCAGAGGGCGTTTTACTGAGGACTTGTGTGCAAGTTTTGACGACTCTACCCAGAGTTTTACTTCCTCTACCCTAGCCGAATGTTCTCAAGACTCCAACAAGAGTTTACCTACCAAGGTCCAAAATTCTACATCAGAAACTACTGATGTCATACAAGACTTCATGCCTTTCATATCGGAAGGATTCGTATCACTGCCAGGTGATTTTTCCAGTCTACAACCAATCAAAATCTTACGAGATACAGGTGCTTCACAGTCCTTGCTACTTGAGGGTATACTTCCCTTGTCTGAATCTACTGCTACTGGGAGCAACATCCTGTTACGAGGTGTAGAGCTGGGATGCATAGATGTACCTTTACATCTCATCAACCTAAAATCAGACTTAGTCTCCGGACCTGTGGTTGTGGGTGTCCGACCAACATTACCATTGGACGGCATCTCGTTGCTGCTAGGCAATGACTTAGCTGGTGGGAAGGTGATAGCCGAGCCCATCGTTACTCATGAACCTTGTTTAAATGAAAATCAGGAAGAAGATCAAGAATTGTATCCAGCATGTGCTGTGACAAGGGCCATGAGTTCCAAGATCTCCACAAAAGAGATTTCACAAAAAAGCAATAAAATTCTTCCTGAAATTGACCTGGGAAAAACATTTTTTGCAAGTCTTAATGAAGAGGCTAGTAATTACAAGACTCCAACTCGAATGCAACTTATTGAAGAACAGAAGAGTGATCCAGAAATAGTCAAACTTCGAGAGAACGCTTTGACCCAAGAAGAAGCTGAACAATTCCCTATATGTTATTACCTTCAAGATGACATACTTTTGAGAAAATGGCGACCTCCAGACGCAAATGCTGACGAAGAATGGAGGATAGTTCATCAAATAGTAGTTCCTACCCCATTCCGGAACGAAGTCCTGAACTTAGCCCATGACTCACCACTTTCAGGTCATTTGGGAGTAAAGAAGACATATCACAAAATCACGTCGCACTTCTTTTGGCCCAAAATCAAGAAAGATGTGGTTGAATACTGCAGATCATGTCATACTTGTCAGGTTGTAGGGAAACCAAATCAGAAGATACCAGCAGCTCCTCTTCAACCCATTCCAGCATTCGAAGAACCTTTCAGTCGCGTTATTATAGACTGCGTTGGACCTCTGCCAAAGACAAAATCAGGTCACCAATACTTGCTGACAATCATGTGTGCGTCAACAAGGTTCCCAGAAGCTATTCCTCTTCGCAATATCAAGACTCCGAACATCGTCAAAGCCTTGACGAAGTTTTTTACATTGTTTGGTCTTCCGAAGTCTGTACAGTCTGACCAAGGAACCAACTTCAAGGCTGGAATATTCAAACAAGTGATGAACCAGTTGGGCATAGAACACTGCTTGTCGAGTGCATATCATCCTGAGTCACAGGGAGCACTTGAGCGATTCCATCAGACGTTGAAGAACATGATGAGAACCTACTGCCTAGAACAAGAGAAAGACTGGGATGAAGGCATCAACATGCTACTGTTCGCCGCAAGAGAAGCAGTTCAAGAATCACTTGGATTCAGCCCCTTCGAACTGGTGTTTGGCCACACGGTTCGCGGTCCCCTTAAACTTTTAAAAGACACGTGGATGTCATCGACACCCACGGAAGGACTTCTTGACTATGTCCAAAAATTTAAAACTAAACTTTTTAATGCCGTTAATTTGGCTAAAACACATTTAAAAGATTCACAATCTAAAATGAAAGTTTGGTATGACAAAAAGTCAAAATTCAGACAGTTTGCTTCAGGGGACAAAGTGCTTGTGCTTTTGCCGATACCAGGGCAAGCACTACAAGCTAGATATTTTGGTCCTTATGTAGTTGAGTCCAAAATCAACGATTTAAATTACATTGTGTTAACACCAGATCGTAGAAGAAAGAAACAGTTATGTCACATTAACATGTTAAAAGAATATTTTGATAGAAAATGTGATGATCATTGTCCATCCTCAGAAACAAATGTTAACACAATCTCAACTGTAACTTCAGTACTTAAAGAAAATGTTACTGAAACCTTTGAAAGTGTCCCAGAAAAAGTTGGTAATTATAAACTTAAAAATTCAGAAGTATTGGCCAACTTAGATAAGAAACTAGGACATTTGTCATTGTCAGAGAAGGATGTTGTTAAGTCTGTTATTGCAGATTTTGTTTTACTCTTCCCTGATGTACCTAATAAAACCAACATTGCTGTACATGATGTTGACATTGGCAATGCAGTTCCGGTCAAGCAACATCCCTATAGGGTCAATCCGGAAAAACTTGAAATAATCCGGTCTGAAATAAAATACATGCTTGAAAATGGTATAATTGAACCAAGCTCTAGCAACTGGAGTTCACCATGTATTTTAGTCCCAAAGCCTGACAAAAGTTACAGGTTTTGTACTGACTTCAGGAAAGTGAATGCATTCACAAAGACTGATTCCTTTCCTATTCCAAGGATAGACGATCTTATAGATCGAATAGGTGATGCCAAATATGTAACCAAGATAGACTTACTATCAGGTTATTGGCAGGTTCCTCTATCTGACAGAGCAAAAGAAATCTCTGCTTTTTGTACTCCAGATGGTTTATATCAATATAAAGTAATGCCGTTTGGAATGAAAAATGCCCCAGCTACATTCCAACGTCTTGTAAATAACATTATTGCTGACCAGGAAAATTGCAGCGCCTATATTGATGATGTAATTATTTACAGTCAAGATTTTTCATCTCATGTAAACCAATTAAGATCTCTGTTTAAAAAATTTTTGCAGGCAAATGTAACTGTAAATTTAAATAAATGTGAATTTTGTCATGCAACTGTGGAATATTTAGGTCACATAGTGGGTCAAGGTCATGTAAAGCCTGTTCAAGCTAAGATAAATGCTATTGTATCACTTCCACCACCCACTACTAGAAAACAGTTAATGAGATTTTTGGGAATGGCAGGTTATTATAGAAAATTTTGCAAAAATTTCTCAGTTATTGCTTCTCCTTTAAGTAATATGTTAAAGAAAAATGCAAAATTTCATTGGTCAGATGCTTGTCAGGAAGCATTCGAAAACATTAAAAATATACTTGCTAATGCTCCTGTTCTCATTGCACCAGACTTTAACAAACAGTTTAAATTAGCTGTAGATGCCAGTGATGTTGGCATTGGTGCAGTTCTTTTTCAAGAAGATGACCACAATGTAGATCATCCTGTCTCTTATTTCTCAAAGAAATTCAACTCACATCAGAAAAACTATTCCACTGTAGAAAAGGAATGTTTAGGTTTAATTCTTGCTCTCCAACAATTTGATTTTTATGTCAGTTGTTCTTTACATTCAGTACTTGTTTTTACTGATCACAATCCTTTAACATTTTTGAATAAGATGGTCTCCAAAAATCAAAGATTGTTAAGATGGAGCCTATTTTTACAAGAATATAATTTGGACATCAAACACATTAAAGGCAAAGATAATGTCATTGCAGATACTTTGTCCAGAAATTAATTTTCACTTATGTTATTGTTTATAAGCTGTTAAGAAGCTTTTTGTCTTATATTTTGAGAGTAAGAAATGTACTTTCTTCAATTTTAATGGAAAAAGAATTCCATTTTTGAACAATGAAATTTTTTTCTTTTAAGAGGGGAGGTGTTATAGAGAGCTTGTTTACATAATATTTCTCGTGCGTGCCCTCTGATTGACCCCGCATGAGACGCTGTGTTCACAAAGGGGTGTGGCTTAGGTCTTTGATGTATTCTTGTTTACGCCGCCAACGAATAAAAATAATTAATCTGTTCCAAATAGTATTTTGTAGAATGATTTTGATTTTTCTAGAAATGTCTCGAAGGCAGGGCTTGGGCGTCGGTAGACCCACCTATATAAGGGATTGACAGGCACGGACGAGGGACGGAGATTTCCGATAGATTTTCTTAACATTACGAGGCGTGTTTTATTCTTTGTGTATTTGTGTGCTCCTACTTATATGTGTTTATTTCGCATTATTTATTGGCATCATTATTTCTAATTGTATTAACTGTGTACCGGTACGACATCTGCCATACTGTAAGTTGAAGATTGTAATTTTATTTTATTTTATTTTGTAATTATCTTAAGACATAATAAATCGTAATTAATTGTGACTAGAAACTGTTTTGGGTCGTATCTTTAATATTGTTGATTATATGGTATCGTCCTTTGTTAGGCACTGTTTACAACGAGCCAATTAAAATTAAAATAGGAGATTAATTTCTCCCAATATAAGTCAGTGCGTAACACCAATTAAACAAGTGGGAGAGAAAAGTTCTCCAGAAAATATATGGACCAACAAAGGATGAACATGGATGGAGAATACTAACCAACCAGGAATTGTAAAGTCTATATCAGGATCCCACCCTAGTGGCAGAAATAAAAAAAGGTCGGCTATGCTGGAATTGTACAGTCTATATCAGGATCCCAAAGCTAGTAGTAGAAATAAAAAAGGGTAGGCTATGCTTGGCAGGACATTTAGAGAGAATGCAAAATGACAGAGGAGTGAAGAGGGTATATCACCAAAACCCTAGAGGGAAACGGCTCAAAGGCATTCCTAGGCTTAGATGGATGGATGATGTGGAAAAAGATCTACAGCAGCTTGGAATTCAAGCGTGGAAAAGAAAAGCCTTAGTTAGGTCTGAGTGGAAGGACGTAGTGAGGCAGGCCAAAGTCTTACATGGGTTGAAGCGACACAGGGATGGATGGCTATTAATTTCAGGGCATTGGAGCAGATGTTTACAAATTGGCTCCGACTCCAAGTTTCGGCTCCATTAAAATTTCCGGCTCCAGCTCCGAATAATAAAACAAATCAAAATAAATGTACATATAACATAGTAAAACATTTTTTATTATATTTAAAGGAAAATAACTTAATTAGTATAATAATGCTGGTATAACTTTATTAATCAGCACAATCCTGATTCATCCTCAGAAATAAAATATTTTCCAAAATACCTGGTATAAGTGAAGAACGCAAATCGCTCACTAAAGAGATTGTCCTACTTTCATTTTCACAATGTAATTCTGTTTAAGTCCAATTTTTGGTGGTGATTTTTTTGTCCCGCATTTAAATTATCAAAAGAGAAATTAATTTAAAGAGCACATAATAACATTCGTAGTTGGAATAGAAGATTTACTATGGAGTTGGAGCCAAATATGTCAGCAAATATTTAGGCTCCAACTCTGGCTACGCTACAAGTGAAAACACTAGCTCCGGCTCCAATGCTCTGATTGATTTTGTGGCAAAAGAAGCTACTTTATTGTATGCCTCTAGAAATGCAGCAAGAAGTCTCAATGACCTGCGGTCGCACCCTTCCCTCAACTAAAACAAGTTCACGCATGCTACAGTTACACACTGTGGTAATTATAATCCAAAAGTTGTCAGAAAAATAAATAGTTTGACAATAGTCAATGCAATTCTCATTTCCCAAAATGTCAGAAAATTAAATTTTATAATTGGGTACCCTATGAAACTATAATTTAAAATTATTTTTAAAAAAAAGATAGCTTGACTAAGAATCCAAGAATAAACAAAAATTAGAGAATCCTACACACTGAAACTCCAAGTATTGAGCCGAACCAACATGACATTAGAGTAGGGTGACCAAATAAATAAATCTGGAAAAAACGGGACACACCCAAGGAGGGTTGGGGGGGATACAGAGGGGTCCGGGAGCCTCTGCCGAAAACTGTTTATTGAAATATGCTCATTTGAACTATTTTGAGAACTAAAAATATTTTTTAATTTATCTTCACATTTGTAATTTAATTTAAACTTTGAGGCATATCATAAACGAAAGCAATAATTTTGTAGTGTTTATTTATTTATTTAAACATTATGTAACATATTTTACAACATTAACATAATACATCACAACAAATTAAATTTCTCTAGTCTAGGATTTTAATTGAGGATATTTGGCTGTTGTCCCAGCCATTGTTAAAATCTCCTTCGGCTTATCTAATATGTGAAAATGAAAATGTGTTTGGTTTTAGAAAGAAACAGGACATTTAGACGTCCCGAGAGACTTTTTAGGGACACCGGGTACGATTGTGAAAAAAATGGGACAATCCTGTTTTTATGGGACTTTTGGTCACCTTAGCTTAGGGACTTAAGTAAGCCTAATGCCTAAAGTTACTTGAACTTAGCCTAAGAATACTATTACTACTAAGATTTCATTTGGCTCATTCATTTGGACAAAAAAAATACAAAAATAAGTTTAAGAAACGTGTTTAGTTTAGGCTTAGAAATGAGTCAACTGATATGACTTAAATAATATGCTGATGTAATGAATATGGTCGAGGTTTAAAGGCTAAATATCAATATAATATGAGTTCCAACAAAAACATACAATGACAACTAATACAAAGAAAGGCCAATTATCGACATTAGGTTACATGAAATATAAATTAATAGAATTTTAACTAAAATTAAGGCATATTTTCTCAGTTCGAAAAATAAAATTTCAGAAAATAACAATAGTCGAAAATTCAAGGAAATAAAAAAATGAGGTACGCCAAAATCAGTTATGTATGGCCATGGCATGATTAATTTCACAATCATTACCGTGATTTCATTCTAACGTCGGAATGTCGCCTTGAATGCTCGATGCGATCCGCCATATTTGTAGAGCTATGATGTCATTTGTTACACCGCTCGCTACCTATTTCAATGGACCTTAGGCGCACTACTATGGATAATGCTATATACCCTGTTATGACTCTGAATTCTAGCACTGAGTTTAGATTGGAATTCTAGATGCCGCAGTGAAAGTTACTTTATATTTTTTAAACATTTAAGTAAGAAATATAAATAATTAAAATGCTAAAATATTGATTAAATTTTTTTCATGTTACGTTTCTAATAATAGTTGTAGTAGTGTCGTTTTTTATATTATTATTAATGGGGTGGGGTGATCTATGGATGAAGATTTTCATTGACAATCAAAAATCAAGGCAATCCCCACTGAGTTTCAAATTGGGCATAACCGCCAGATGTGGCCATGGAAAAGAATATCTGGTATCCGAGTGTGCATTTTTTAATGAATTTGCATAGGGACTGATAGGGAGTTGGAAGCTGTTCCCCGGGGTTTAAGACAATCATATATTTTTAAACTCGGGATTATGGGCGTAGGCCCTACCAATGTTTGAAAAGCTGTCAACGGACCCCACTTAGACACTTAGTATAGATATAGATATGTATGTGTGAATCACAATTAAATTCAAATGCTTATAACTTATATGTCTCGCCTACAGGTCGTCGTGGAGCTGTGTGCCATTGAGGGGGGGGGAGGGGAGATTCGTTACACAGCTCTAAACAGTGATGTTAACCTAAAAGATAATACGTTGGATCCTCGATTTTATCAATAATGAAAAGGTATGCAGTCGTAAAATTTCAAAGCCAAAGCAAAGTAAGATGGCAACAAATTAAATATTGAACAGGATTTTAGTAGTATTAATAAAAATACAGAAGTTGGTACTTGAAAAAAAAAGTTTTGTTGTTACTGCTAATCACTCTTGTTACATATGAGTTGTTGGTTACACTCCTCGTGATCAGGCCCATATGAAGGGGCTCCCGCCCACAGGCTCTATCTTCAACCAGAGGGCACGAAAATCGTCATTTTCATGCAAAACATGTGTATTAATATATATCATACTTTTAAAGAAGAGGATGCCTAAATTCAAGCTTTGCTCTGGGCGAAGCATTTGCTTGGAACAGCTCCTCTCGTGATTGACAAATTATAACATCATAATTGCTTTCAGATGTAGGCCTTTGGGCAGCGATTCTCAACCTGTGGGTCGCGACCCCTTTAGGGGTCGAACCACCCTCTCACAGGGGTCGCCTAAGACGTTCGGAAAACACATACTATACAGTTATGAAGTAGGAACGAAAATATTTTTTGTGGTTGGGGTCGCCACAACATGGGGAACTGTATTAAAGGGTCGCAGCATTAAGAAGGTTGAGAACCACTGCCTTAGGGCCTACTATAGACAAATCGTTTTAAATTTTAGATACATATTTGAGAGTGAAATTGGATTTTACATGTTCAATTTGTCAATTTAAAAATCCAAAAGTGAAAAGCTGTAGCCTATATTAAATACATAGAACTCAAGGCTATGATGATTTATAATTTATTTGGGGAATATTATTTAAGAGATAGGCATGATTGTATTAAATTACAGTGACCCAAGGCGGATATAAGATTTGTCCCAGGCTACAAATTGGGAGAGGCGATGTATATAGGCCTAGACTATATTGTAATAAGGACTCGTTCAATGCCATTGACAGTGGGTGCGCCGATTTATACATATACCAATTTTGTAATCCCCAAGGCAGCGTGCGTTTGCCATCATCGTCATAGTATTCTCATAATCACAAAAGAATTTGTATTTCCATCATGGCATCCATGGGGTTATTTTTAGTTTATTATATTACAACTACACAAATACGTCATTCCAACAGTAAAAATAAAAGCATTAAAATGTTCCTTTAAATTAACTTACAGGCCGGGGGGGGGGGAGGGGGCGAACAAAGGAAATGACTTAACTTTATCTAACTACCTGGTTATTAATATTATCATAAGAAGAATCTATATCAAAAAATAGAATTGTATTTATTATTTATGACCAATTAAATAAAAGCATTAAAATGTTCCTTTAAATTAACTTACAGGCCGGGGGGGGGGGGAGGGGTCGAACAAAGGAAATGACTTAACTTTATCTAACTATCTGGTTATTAATATTATCATAAGAAGAATCTATATCACAAAATAGAATTGTATTTATTATTTATGACCAATGCAGCCCCCTCGATGGTACTGTTGAATGCGTGTAAACAGCTGATGCTGTAAACAACAGTTACAGCAATGACCTCGCTAATATCACGTGACAGAGATCGCCCCGCCTATTTGTAACTTTATGGGCTAACGGAAATACAAGCAGTGCTATATTTATAAATATAGATGCCTTGTTTATGCTGAATTCAATCTCAGTCTACTTCAATTAAATAGTGATCCGAATTCGAAGACCTAAAAATGACTGACAGCTCGTCAGGAGAAGGTAAGTTGTTTGTAAGTCCAAAGTCCAAACTTTAAGGTAAAGCTTATTAAACAAAATGTCCGCGAGTCACAGCAGACGACCTGCTTACTGAATTCAACTGAATTGAGTGAGACTCTCCTCTCCTTCATGTTGGTGACTCCCACCTACGATGTACAATGTTTTAATAAATTAAATCAACCATCTGAGTCTCAATATGTTGTGTGTGTGTTGTTTTTTTTTAACACTAAAGGTTCCTAAAAATTATGATTTTATCATTTGTACTACTAATTTAATTATACTAATACTATTTATACCAGTTACCCTATTGATATTGGCTATTGGATTTTTTAAAAGAAGATAATAGTATAATGGTGATAACTAATAAAAACTAAGTTTTTTTGTTTTTTTTAAATTAGAAGGGAAAAGACTTATTAAGAACACAGCACGTTTTTCAAAACAAGGATCCGAAGAACAGTAGATTATGATTTAATACTTAAATATAATATATAAATATGGCATCATTCCACCTTTGCGAGAGAATGGAGTAGCTATTGTCACTATGGACACTTCATCAAATGGCTTTCAAGGCTGATCCTGGAATGGTAGTCTCAGCAGCATTTCTCATAGGATAACCTTGAGACTCCTTACGTATTGCTCTTTTCTGCAAGGGCTTTTGTATCGCACATCGTCTGCCTTTTTAACTTCTTTGAAGCGAAGTGATGGCGTTTTCCTTATATTTACATTTCTTGCTTTAAAAAAATGCTGTCCTCCTCTTGAAGTGTCTTCACCAGTGCAGCTACTTAGCCTGGGCAGTGTTTTATGGAGACCAGCTGCTGCCCAATGCAGCAGATGCCCACTCTCCACTCAGCCAGTGAATCCGAGGGAATGACAACTGTCAGTACCACTTGGCACTAATAGCGTCACAGGAGTTGCCAAAATGACATTGGTATCACTTTCAGATCGACTTCAGGACTCCATCTCTGGATTAACAGTTTGGGTTACCTGTAGTCTTACCCCAGCTTCCTGCATTGATTATTGATATTTATAGTGATATTCATTCAACACTTTTGCATTTTACATCAATTTCGGTACACACACAAATTTGCGAGTTAGCCATCTTGTTGCTAAATGGCATTTTTCCATCTTCACGAGACCACGGAATAATAAACACTTCATCAAATAGCTTAGAAGGTTGATCCTGGAATGTCAGTCTTGGCTGCATTTCTTGCAAGGGAAACCTTAACACCTGTTTTAATTTGGCCATACATAATGATCTTTTTTTATTGCAAGGGCTTTGTTTGCGCATCTTCTGCCTTTTTGACTCATACATTGCTGTTCACCAGCTGGATCGATGCTCAGCTATGATTTCACATTAGCTGATTTCTATGTTCGCTTCCCTCATGCTCCTTTTGCAAACATCTTTAAATTGCACCCTGGCCATCCAATGCGTCTTTCTCTTTCTGCCAGCTCTCTATACAGCATATAATTTGGAATACTGCCTTCCTCCATTCTCCTTACATGACCTAACCAGCGAAGGCATCTCTTGCTGAGAGCGGTGAATATGCTACACATTTGGCATGTTCCAAAACCTCTGTGATAGTACCTTGTCTTGCCATCGAATGCTCAAAATGTGACGCATACATATATATAAATAAATAAAGTTCAGATAGCTTAATATTTATAATTAAAAATCTAGAAAATATAATTACATTTAAGAGAAAAAATGTGACTGTTGCCTCAGCATCAGGGTTGTATTAGAACAAATTATGTGCCCACGAAAGGATTTTTAAATTCAATAAAGCTTCTAAATCTATAAGATTGGCTTATTGGAATAAATTGCTGAGTGAGGGTAATATAAAGGCACTATGGTTTGTTATAATAATGAATGCATCAGATGAATTTGATGTGCACTATCTGGAAATTTTACTCTAGAACCTTTTAGCATTGTATACTTTACTTTAAGTTATTTAGTCAGCGTTTCCCAAATTTTTAAGTTTTGGGGCCCTTAGGCAAGTTTCACATTGCACCAGGGATTGCTGCCAGATTGATTATTATTCTTTTTATATTTCATAAATATGTTTTAATTCGTAATTTCACAGATTCAATAGGACTCAATTACTATTACTTACCATTTAATGCTAGCAGTTAATAGTTTTAAAAAGAAATTGTTAAGGCTGTTTAAAAATTTAAAAAAAAAAAAATTATTACAGTCTAGGCACTAGACCAGAGAAAACTTTCTCTCTTGATAGTTTCTAAATGAAAGAGGATTTAGCTATGGTTTGTAACCTATTTTATGCAAAATTCTGAAGAGATTAACCTCCCTTGAAAAAATTTTAATTCAACACTTTCAGTTTAAAGCCAGTGAGTTAAGGTTCAGAGTGTGTGCATGGTTCAGTGTGCATGGAAACAAGGAATATTTTGGACGTCAAAGAAGCCAAAATTTATGGCACACTACCTCTTTCCCCTTTTGTCACTTGTTTTCCATGAAAACAATAATTGTGGGTGCTAGCTAGTTTAGGCATGATCTAGTAACACCACCATTTTTTTAATTAAATGTTTTGCTCTGTTTTTGTTCGGTCTCTTAACTGATAGTTTTCACATTTTTAAAAATTTA